CAAAGATCTGCTCGTTCCTGATTCTGCTTCATGTGTTCACTAAAGCCAACAAACACAGATCAATTGTTAAAATCGTTATTTATTTTTTATAATATCAGTGAATAAGAAGAAACAGATGATGGTCCACTAGATGGCAGTATTGTATTGGAGCCACTTCAGGTTTATATTGAAGCCTATTTCTGCCACATAAATAAAACATGCTTTGATAAATCATAATTGACAAAAAAAAAATCTTTAAATTGTTTAAATTAAATAATTAAAACACAATTATGAGATAAAATTTGAAATTATGAAATGTTAAGTCATAACTGAGATAAGAAGTCAATTATGACAAAAATATTATAACATACTAATTTATGGCAAAAACATCAACTTTTTGTCATAATTACATGACTTTTTATCTCATAATTTCGAAATGTTATCTCATAGTAATTTTGACTTATTTTTTCGATTAAATATGTTAGATGATATTAGTCAGAATGTCTGTTTATAGCATAAATCCCCAAAAGGATAATTCATAATTTTGACTTTTATTTTATGTCATTATGACATTGTCATTATTTAAACGTTTTCTCATAATTATGACTTTTTGTCATAATTGATTTTTTTATCTCATAATTTTAAGTTATGTTTTTTTTTTTTGTATGTAAGTTGTTCTGTTTTTCCTTTATTATTTTCTTTCTTTCATCAATATTATTAATATCAGAATGTTTTTATCTCATAATTTAGCCATTTTATCTCATAATGTCTTAATGTCATAATTGTGACTTTTTCTCATAATTATGACTTTTAATAATTAATGTTTTTTTTAAAGTCTCAATTTTAACATCAGAATTTTGACATTTTATTTTGGCATGTCTCTCCAAACCTGTATTATTGTATTTCTTCCATGAAACATGTTAGATTATTTTAGTCAGAATGTTTGTGTTTTATAACATAAATCTAAAAAAGGATAATCCATGATTTACTTTCCATTTCATAATTAGGACATTTTAAGTCATAATTTTGACTCAAAATTTCAACTTGTTTCTCATAATTATGACTTTTTATCTGGTAATTTAGTTTTTTTTTTTAAGTCATAATTTTAGCTTTCTTCAGTATTTATCACAAGCACTAATGCAGCAGTGGCACTTATCAATAGTCTACCCACAATGCTCTGCTGCAGAGAAGTATCAGTACGCCCGTCACAGTCGGTCCCACCGGACGCCGGCGTAGGATTCGACGGAGCGGAGCGAGACTCGACACATGCAGTGACAGGAATGTTTGTGAGGGAAAAGCCCTCAAGGCAAGACTGAACCTGACTTACAGATCCTGCAGCAGATGAAAGAGAGCGAAAGTGCTGCCCACAGAACAAAAGACGCTCAACAGGAGTTTATTTACTTGGTGACACATAAGAAGCATGAGAGGAGACGTGGCTTCTGACATTCACTGATAATATTCAGGAAAAACTGACCCGTGATTATCCTGTCATCATTTACTCACTCACCTCACTCCATTTAATCCAGATTTAAAGTGACTTACAAAAGAGGAACAAAAGCTTTCTGTCAAAGAGCCAACACTACTCGCAATATATTCTGACTATCTAACATGCTTTGTGGAAAAAAGGAAATGATAAGGGTAATTTAGATTAGATTAGATTAGATTTAACGCAATAACAATAAAGTTTAATCTAATCTAAATTACTCGTATGTCCTTTCTTCCATGAAACATGTTAGCTGATATTAGTCAGCATGTTTGTTTTATTATGTAAATCTCTAAAAGCATAGTTTCATAAGTAAGACTTTATATTTCATAATTATGGCATTTTATGTCATTTGAAATTTCTACTTTTTCTGAAAATGATAACTTTTTAAATGTCATTTTTTTTTATCTCATAAATGACATTTTGTCATAATTTGTTTTATTTCAATTTAGATTTTTTTTTACCTCATATTTTAAACTTTTATTTTGAAATGTCGCAAACCTGTATGATATTCATCATTTAGACTCTTTATTTCATGATTCTGACTTTTTATGTCAATTTTGACTCATTATTTCTCATAATGATGTTTTTGTCATAATTTTAACTTTTTATGCCATAATTTCGATTTGCCATAATTAAATTTTTTTAATCTTGTAATTGACTTTTTACTCTCATAATTGGTATTTTGTTATAACTTTGACTTTTATCTCCTAAATTAGGCTTTTTTTAATCTCATAATTTTAACTCTGTCATAATTTTGACTTTTCAACAAAAAAAGTTTGTTTTATAACATCAATTCAATTCATGATTTAGACTACTTAATAATTATGATATTTTATGCCATAATTCCAAAATGTAAACTTTTCCCCTATAATTATAACTTTTTTGACATTTTATCTAATAATTTATTTTATTTTTTTATCTGGTAATTTAGTTTTTTTTTTAAGTCATAATTTCAGCTTTTTGTCATCATTATGATTTTTTTATTTCATCATGTCACTCCCAACCATATTAATTTCTTTCTTCCATGAAACATGTTAGATGATCATATCAGAATGTTTGTGTTTTATTACGTCAATCCATAAAATGACATGGTGCCAGTTTTACATCACTGGTTCCTGCATGCGTTGAAAGCAAACGTGACGTGTTTAACAGCTGATCACTATTTGTTCTGAACACATGAAGCAGAATAAGGAATGAGCAGATCTTTTGTGTCTGTTAAACTGGGTGGGACGGCAGGTATTACAGATGATCAACTCGTGCTGGAAATGATGATCGTGTTATTACTGGTGTTTGTTAAGTCAAGCATCACCGTTACTAGTGCTCAGTGTTAGAGGTGTGTTCAAAACACTAAGCATTAGTACTTATAAGTGACCCTAAATATTTTCACCTGCTGGACAATAAAATGGGTTAAAAAACAATCTCACAGGCTTGCTTTGAAGGAGGGACCGGAGCCACAACTACACCACACCAACACCAACACCCTAGTAACCACACTGAACCCCATAAGAACTACCTAGCAACCAACCAGACCCCTTTAATGACTCCTAGCAACACCCTAGTAACCACCCCGAACCCCCTAAGAACTACCTAGCAACCACCCAGAACCCTCTAATGACTCCTAGCAACACCCTAGTAACTACCCCGAACCCCCTAAGAACTACCTAGCAACCAACCAGAACCCTCTGACTCCTAGCAACACCCTAGTAACCACATCGAACCCCTAACAACAAGAATCCACCAATAATCCTCTGACTCATAGCAACACCCTAGTAACCACCGCGAACCCCTAACAACAAGAATCCACCCAGAACCCTCTAATGACTCCTAGCAACACCCTAGTAACCACCCCAAACCCCCTAAGAATTACCTAGCAACCACCCAGAACCCTCTGACTCCTAGCAACACCCTAGTAACCACCTCGAACCCCTAACAACAAGAATCCACCCAGAACACTCGAGCACTTTGACTTTCTCACAAACATGTAACATTTAAGAAGTGTTTGTTTATATGATCTAGTTGGAGAATATGATACCGTTTGGCTCAGAAACTGCTCCAGCGCTGCGAGCTGTAATGAGAGAGAACATAACCAGATGAAACACAGATATTGGCAATAAAAAAGTATACAATTACTTCCTTGTTTGTTTTAGATGCTTTTTGCTGCACATATTAAGCCAATGTACTGAATATAATGCTTTGCTTACGATATTTTATTATTATTTGTTTTTAGGAAATGCTTCATGCATCAGTATCTCTGACGCCTAGAAGCCCAGACCTGATTACACCTTTTATTCAAACCATGATTACTGTAAATATACTTATCCTATTTATACCATTTAATATACTCACAATATAGGGGTTTAAGGTTTTAATTTCAGTGTTTTAAGCAAGTTTTTGTATGCTTATAATTCAGGGCAAACCTGATAATAATGCATAATAAGATTATAGATGCTAAGCTTGAAGTACACACTGCAAAACATCGTGTAAATATGACCAGATGATATAAAACAAAAGTGCTTGACCTCTGCCTTGACCTGAGCTGTGCTGGTCTGCATCTCCCAATGCAGTCTTTACTGTAAGCAAACATATAATTAACATGCAAATAACATAAAGCAAACTCTGAAATGTATTGATTCTACACAGAATATGGAAACTTCATTCATTTAGAATCGAGCTGATTTTGCACATTTTATGTATATATGACATTGTTTCAAAGCAGCGTCAGAGAAAAATATTGCATGTTTACTGTATTATTGAATACAGTAATTACCTGCATCCTCTGGTTGTAGTTCCTTTTCTGTAAAGTAAATGATAAATGATATATGAACAGTGCTAGTGTTTATTTATTATGATTTATTTGCACACACTGTCTGATTCACTGCACGTAAGTTTTGCGCTAAAATGCTGCAATTAAAGTCGTGCAACTGGTTAGTGAATTCAGCCATAGTACTGTGAATTACTATCATCTCTTTTAATTGTCAGTTTTCACTTGCTAAACCAGGAGCAGCAAATAAATGAAGTGTGTGATTACCAAACGTAACTGAGTGCAGGTAATCAGACACACACCAATAAATTCTGTTCCTGTTCAGTCATGCATTGTGTGAGCACTCAAACTGCCAAGACCTGGCGCTTTACTTCATGCACAGTGCTGTGTGAAGCGTCATATGTGCAAAGTCATTGGACAACGCCAGTGAGGTTTGGAATTTGCATGCAAGCACCAGACATTTGTGTGCTGACTGTCATGCACTACCAGTCAGGAGATTGGAATCATTCAGATATGCTCAATGTTTTTGAAAGAAGTCTCTTCTGCTCAGCAACGCTGCTTTATTTGATCAAAAATACTGTAAAATTGTTAAATATTATTATAATTTCAAATAACAGTTTTCTATGTGCATATCTGTTTAACTCTATTTTATTTCTGTGATGCGCAGCTGTATTTTCAGCATCATTACTCCAGTCTTCAGTGTCACATGATCTTCAGAAATCAGTATAATATGCTGATCTGCTGCTCGAGAAACATTTCTGATTATTATCAATGTTGAAAACAGTAATATTTTTGTGGAAACTGTCATGCATTTTATTTTTCAGGATTCACAGATGAATAGAAAGCTCAAAAGAACTGTTTATTTGAAATAGAAATCTTGTGTAACATTATAAATGTCTTTACTGTCACTAGGGTTGGCTACCGTTCACATTTTAACCGGTACGGTACCTTTTTTCGGTACTTTACTCTCTGTGTAAACATTTATTTCAGTGAAAGGTTTTGAAAAGAAAAGTGTTTTGAAGTCCAAAAGTCTCAATTTCAACATTTTGAACAATAGGGCCCTACAAAGGTTTTCTTTCTTTCTTTCTTTTTTCCCCCCAGAAATTCTTGTTTTAATTTTTCTGAAAATCAAATGAAGGCAATAAACATCTATTTTAAATCAAACGAAAATTAAACCCTTTTATTTTTTGGCAAACGAACTGAGGTTTACTGTTGAAATTAATACATGGAAGAAAAATGGTGTGAATATTCCTTTAAAAAAAAAAATGTATTTAATAATTTTACTACAATTAAGTGATTAATCTGGTTGTAATATTTATTTTTATCATTTAATTGTTTTATGTCAATTTGATACAAAATTGAATATTTAAAGATGTACATTATACTGTATAAAAGTAATACAAGAGTAATATATGTCTGTTACTTGTTAAACCATACTTTTATTTTGACTGGTTACAATGAAGCTACTGTGTATATACAGTATGATGATGCTCGTTTTCTCAAATGAAACGGTAAAATTCTCTCTCGCAGCAGCTCTGGAGATTACGTTTTTGTGTTCATGCCGTCGTACAGTGAGACGCAGAGGCCGGGAATCACCGAGAGCGTCACGCGTGCTTCAGTATTTGTGTAGTAAACAAAACCGCATTTCCGGCATTCATACATACAGAGGCAAGCGGAACATGCAGGACTCATATTTAAACCGTCTTTTTGCATTATAATATTCACAGACACTAGTTCATATCACGATTCGAATTAAGTGGCAGACCTACTTTTGGTTTATTCGTCCAAAATTAGATGAATTCCGTGGCATTCCGCGCTATAAATACGTTTTTATGAATGGACTCCGTCCGCGTTTTCTCAGAAACCATATGGCCCTAGAAATGTAACCACACTTCAGAACATTTCAACGGTAAAATTCTCTCTCACAGCAGCTCTGGAGATTACGTTTTTGTGTCCAAGCCGTCGTACAGTGAGACGCAGAGGCCGGGAATCACCGCGAGCGTCACGCGTGCTTCAGTATTTGTGTAGTAAACAAAACCGCGTTTCCGCCATTCATACATACAGAGGCAAGCGGAACATGCAGGACTCATATTTAAACCGTCTTTTTGCATTTTAATATTCACAGACACTAGTTCATATCACGATTCGAATTAAGTGGCAGACCTACTTTTGGTTTATTCGTCCAAAATTGACGAATTCCGTGGCGTTCCGCGCAATAGAGTAAATTACGTTTTTATGAATGGACTTCGCGAAATGTAACCACACTTCAGAACGTTCCCTGTGTGTTGTCTGAAGGAGTTGCAGGGCTGACCTCACGTCGCAGGGTCTCTCTTTCTCTCTCTGATGCGTTCTCAGGTACCGAAATTTTCACACATTTAACGTGAATCGGTACTCGGTATACGAATTCTGTGGCGTTCCGCGCAATAGAGTAAATTACGTTTTTATGAATGGACTTCGCGAAATGTAACCACACTTCAGAACACTTCAGAACGTTCCCTGTGTGTTGTCTGAAGGAGTTGCAGGGCTGACCTCACGTCACAGGGTCTCTCTTTCTCTCTCTGATGCGTTCTCAGGTACCGAAATTTTCACACATTTAACGTGAATCGGTACTCGGTAGTACCGACGCAATTCAGTCGGTGCCCTTAAACATACCGAGTTCGGTACCCAACCCTAGCTGTCACTTTCGATCAATGCCTCCTTGATGAATAAAAGTGTAATGAAGCAGCACGACTGTTTTCAACATTGATAATAATCAGAAATGTTTCATTTAATCAGCATATTATACTGATTTCTGAAGATCATGTGACACTGAAGACTGGAGGAATGATGCTGAAAATACAGCTGCGCATCACAGAAATACATTACAGTTTAACAGATACTCACATAGAAAACTAACTTAAATTATAATAATATTTCACAATTTTTACTGTATTTTTGATCAAATAAATGCAGCCTTGCTGAGCAGAAGAGACTTCATTCAAAAACATGAAATAATCGTAATTATTCCAAAGGTTTGAGCGGTAGTGTGCATCTGTTCTTTATAAACGTGTGGAGAAGCTGAAAGCTCAAGACTAATAGCTGACGTCTCTGAGAAATAATAGAGAATTGTGTTATAATTGTAACTTTTATTGTAACGTAGATTTTTTTTTAAATCTCATAATTTTAACTTTTCGACAAAAAAAGTTTGTTTTACATTCAACATCAATTCAATTCACGGTTTAGACGTCTTATTTAATAATTATGATATTTTATGCCATAATTCCCGAAATTTCAACTTTTGTAAGTATAATTTGAACAATGTAAGTAGAATTCATAATTGATCTACTGACAGTAATTCCAGATTTAAATCAGCTGCTGGAGGAATAACCCCAAAACAAACACAAACGGCCTAAAGCTTTGTGATGATCTCTTACCGAGCGCATCAGAAAGATCGAATCCTGCAGAATTATCTGGAGAAAGCACAGAAGCACAAGTAAACACAAAGCTGCACAGTACAACAGCAGTCTAATAAACGACAGATAGTCCAGCGTCAGACCTTTCACAGCGACAGCGGGTTCAACGGGTTCCTCTGGTACAGCGGTCGACTCTAGAAAAAAACAACATTTCTGACGTTTAGAAAATGTGCTTTATGCTTCACAAAAATAATGTAAATATTAAATATAAATGCAAAATTATTATAATTCCTATTTTTCTTAATGATGAATCTCATTGGACTCTAATTACTGTAATACAATGATTTCTTTTTAATCAACCAGCATAAATGACAGAACAACAATGTACAAATGTACAAATTCCTCAAAATAAATAATAATAATTATTATTATTATTATATTTTTTTTTTAGAAAAGGAAATAGTAGGGGAAAATGTGATTAATGCTTCACAAAAATAATGTAAATATAAAATATAAATACAGCAAAAGTATATAAAAAAATTTAACATGCCTATTTTTTTTATGTTAAATAAAATATCCAATTTTTTTCTTTTGAGTATAGGATGATGTGACCACAGGTTTCATAAGATTCGCCCAACGTAAATAATGTGAAATATGAACACTCTTCGTTTCAGTGTTTATTTTCTAAAGCATGCTGGATTAAAGCAAACGCTGATCTAAGTTTCCGTTGTTCCTGGAATAAGTGTTATATTGACCATGTTCACATTTGACATTGCTTCAGCTCCAGAGAAACGCACCTGCTTCAGTATCTGCGTCTGCATCTGCTTCCCCTGCAGACGACACGCATGCAAACAAACAAACAAACTCATTTCACTGGACACCGGAGCTGATCTGAGCTCTGTTTCTAAACCTTAAAGCCTTAAAAGTCAGTGGTTTTATTCTTTTCTCCACCGGAAGTGACTCAGAAAACGAGGATTTGATGCTCGAGTGATTTCAATAGAAATAGAAAAGCATCATAAAGCACTCTTCTCAGAAACAGTCACAGTTGGGTAGACTTCTGTAGCGATGAACGGAAACTACAACTAATATCGTTTTTGCAAAAGGAAAACAAAACTGCGATAGTGTTTCAATGACTTTCCAAAATAGAGTCATATTCGCTGTTCTTTTTTTTTCTTTCTGTAATTTCATGCAAAGGTAAAAGAACACAAAGTATAGTGTTATAAATCTAAATTACATTTGTTTTCTGTGCTTTATATAATTTAAGTAATAAGTGACTGTCCTTTAGCTTCTGCTCCAGCTTCTTCTCCAGCAGGTTCCTCTTCAGCGGATGCTAAACACAAGTTTAAACATAACATAAACATAAGTCCTCCAGGTCCAGTCTGACTGTGCATCCACAGCAAGTGCTTCTTAAACACTGCATCGCTTTGTTTTTTTACTTTCATTTGTTCAGTTTTCATTTTATTTTTGTTGTGCTATTGTAATTTTATTAGGATTTTTTTATTTGCTTCTGCTCCTGCTTCTGCTCCAGCTTCTGCTCCAGCTTCTTCTCCAGCAGGTTCCTCTTCAGCGGATGCTAAACACAAGTTTAAACATAACATAAGTCCTCCAGGTCCAGTCTGACTGTGCATCCACAGCAAGTGCTTCTTAAACACTGCATTGCTTTGTTTTTTTACTTTCATTTGTTCAGTTTTCATTTTATTTTTGTTGTGCTATTGTAATTTTATTAGGATTTTTTTAATCTTTCTATTTTTTATTATTTTTATTTTTGTTTTATTTTTGTTGTGCTATTGTAATTTTATTTGGATTTTTTTAATCTTTCTATTTTTTATTATTTTTATTTTTGTTTTATTTTTGTTGTGCTATTGTAATTTTATTAGGATTTTTTTATATTTCTATTTTTTATTATTTTTATTTTTGTTGTGCTATTGTAATTTTATTAGGATTTTTTTATATTTCTATTTTTTATTATTTTTATTATTGTTTTATTTTTGTTGTGCTATTGTAATTTTATTAGGGTTTTTTATATTTCTATTTTTTATTATTTACATTTTAGTTTTTATTAATTTCTTAGTAATTTCAGTGCTTCAGCTTAAACTTCTTTCAGTTAGTTTACAAGGTTTTTATCTAATATTTATATTTGATTTGATTTCAGCTTTATTTCAATTAATGCAAAGACTTTATTTATATTTTTTTATTTTTTATTATATTTTTTATAATTTTAGTTTTAGTTCAGTTTTAGTTTTTTCTTCCTGCCCAGTTAGTAACTTTAGTTCTTTAACAAACTTATTTCAACAAATTATTTTTTAATTGCAAAAGCAACATTTCTGGTTTTTGGTTAGTTTGATTTTCAATCAATCAATCAATCAATCAATCAATAAAAAATAAAATAAATTTTATATTTTTTAATAATTTTAGTTTTAGTTCAGTTTCAGTTAGTAAATTTAATGCTTCAGTTTTAATTTATTATTTACTTTATTTCAGTTAGTTGCCAAGCCAACATTTTTGTTTAGTTTCCTTTTTTAAATATTTATATTTTATTTTATTTGAGCTTTTTTTTTAATACTGAATGATTTTTTATAGTTTTAGTTCCCAGTTTTAGATTTTATTTTATTTCAAGTTAGTAATTTTAGTGTTTCAACTTAAACTACATCTGTATTTTTACTTTCATTTTAGTTAAATATATATATTTTTTTATTTAGGTTTTAATTTATTCTAATCTAATCTAATCTAATTAATATAATATAATATAATATCATAATTTATTTTATGATTTTTTAAAATACTTTTCGTTTTAGTTCAGTTTCAGTTAGTAATCTTAATGTTTCAGCTTTAATTTATTATTATTTAATTTATTAAGGCAACATTTCTAATTTTTGTTTAGTTAATTTTTTTTTCAATATTTATATTTTATTTGAGCTTTTATTCAATTACTGAATGAGTTTTAATAGTTTTAGTTCACAGTTTCAGTTTTTATTTTATTTCCAGTTAGTGACTTTAGTGTTTCCTCTTAAACTCGTTTAGTTGCCAAGCCAGCTTGTCTGATCCGCCGACTCTCAGCGGAACGGCAGCAGAGAGGAAAATACGTCATAGCCAAAACCACATGATTATCACAGGCTTCCCAGCCCACCGTCTGATGCGTCTCTATGCCTTTTCCAGGCCTTCATGGTTACAGGATATTTGAAGGATTTTTAAAATCATTTTATTAAAGATTGCGTTCAGAAAGAGCAGCTTCTGGCTATGAAATATTTTAGGGCTGAGAATAACTGGGACACATTATCTTTTAGAAATGACCATGACTTTTCCAGGCCCTTTTTAAAACGTGAGGTTTTCTATCGCTGTTTTTTATATCCATATGTATATGTATATGTATATGTATATGTATATGTATATGTATATGTATATGTATATGTGCCTTGGTTTTGCACTTGTGTCTTGTGTCTGACCAGAACTGAACACCTGAAGTAAACGAGGCGTACCTGTCTCAGGGTTTGTGTCTTCAGACTCTGTAAACACACAAAAAAACAACACACGATTATAAAATGTTATAAAAGCTGGTATAAAATGCTGATGATTACACATCTATACGATGCACAGTCTATATTAATGCACTGAATAACAGAACAGTTTATTCTGATTGTTATTATTAAACGTAAATATATGTCAAATGTATATTGAACATTGACGTTGGCTGTTTGCATTGTGCCTAAGAATCAGTATTATAGACGCTTTTCATCTAATATTTAGATTTTATTTTATTTCAGCTTAATTTCAATTACTGGATTGTTATTTAAGTGTTATATTTTTTTATTAACAGTTTGAAATCGTTTTTCCGTTTTAATTTTAGTTACTGTTTTAGTAATTCTGTGTTTTGTCATTTTTATTATATTTCTATATTTCTGATTTTTATTTAAATTTTGAGTTTCAGTTTGAGTTATTTTAGTACACCAACTTAAATGAAAATGATGTTGCCTTGGCAATTATCTGAAATAAAATGTTTTTTTAATATAGGATCTTATGTCAATTAACTTTTATTTTTATGCTTTTAATTGTAGATTTAGTTAACTATAATAACCCTGGCTTTTTGTTTTAGTTTTATTTATTTATAGTCAGTAACTTTAGTGCGTCAACGTATTTAATTTAGTTGCCAAGGCAATGTTAAGTTTTTCATTCGATATTTAAATTGTATTTTTATTTAATTACTTCTTTATTAATACTTATATTTGATTTATTTCTTATTTAGATTTGTAATAGCTTTAATTTAGTAAACCCTCACTGTAAAAAATATCCTGTAAAATTTACAGTAAAAAAAACGGCAGCTGTGGATGCCGGAATTTTACTGTAAAAAAAATACGGTAGCAACGTTTTAGGTTTTACGGTTTTAACTTAAATTTAGTTAAATACCGTAATTTCATTAACTGATATAATGTCAATATGCCAACCTATTGAAGTACAAGGTTTTTACAGTCTTTTACCGTTAAATTCACGGTAATTTTTTACAGTGCTGCTAAGAACGTCTCTCGCTCATGGGAAAAACACTGTAAAATCACTGTAAAGTGCTTTAATGTTAATGTCTGTGTTTGTTTAACCTGCAGGAGCTTCTGCCTCCTCCGCTGGCTCTTCAGGTGATGCTTCTTCAGGTGCAGGTTCTTCAGGTGCTGTTTCTTCAGGTGCAGGTTCTTCAGGTGCTGTTTCTTCAGGTGCAGGTTCTTCAGGTGCTGTTTCTTCAGGTGCAGGTTCTTCAGGTGCTGTTTCTTCAGGTGCAGGTTCTTCAGGTGCTGTTTCTTCAGGTGCAGGTTCTTCAGGTGCTGTTTCTTCAGGTGCAGGTTCTTCAGGTGCTGTTTCTTCAGGTGCAGGTTCTTCAGGTGCTGTTTCTTCAGGTGCAGGTTCTTCGGCGTCTGCAGCTGCAACAGAGATCTCACAATCAGACACCATCCCACAGATCTGTTCCTGTCAGCGTCAGGAGCATCAGCGGCTGTCAGATCCTGACTCTCGTTTGTGCCTGAAGCGTAACTCGAGCTCTCCTCAAGCGCACAGGTGACCATAAATCACACTCACCGTCTCCATCGCCTCGCTGGAATCCGGCAGTAAATCTCCCGCGGCGGTGTTTTCAGCATATATAAGATCTATATGTTACGTGTCGCGACAGTTCTGCATTTCTACCGTAACATCAAACATCCAGTGAGGGAGTTTATCAAGCACAGACCTGTTCCAGACCCTCATATCGGCTTTACAAGAGCTGGATTGAATGGCACTGCCTTTACATGACAATACATACAAGAAGTCAAGACGAAATTTAAGCCTTTATTCACTGATAATCTTCCTCTCAAATCACAAATGCAGGTTTGTTTCCCATCATGCGATCTCAGATGG